CTTGGGGGACACAATTCAAGCTTCAGGGAGTTTTGGGGGGACGTAATTCAATCCACTACAGAACCGAAACTTGGCATAGCGCCTAGCACGCAGTAGTGTCCATAGGGTTGGCTGTGACTGTTTCCAAGGCCAGCCCGGGCTCCCCAGGGTCCCAGCCGGGCTCACACCACGCTCCTCCCACAGGTGCACCCGGCCCGGGAGGCCCTGGCAGTGCTGGAGCCCTACGCGCGGCTGCCCCCACACGAGCACGTGGCGCGGCCCACTGAGGTCCTGACCGGCACCCAGCTCCTCTACACCTTTTTTGCTCGGACCCACGGGGACATGCACAGCCTGGTGCGCAGCCGCCGCCGCGTCCCTGAGCCCGAGGCCGCTGCGCTCTTCCGGCAGATGGCCACGGCCCTGGCACACTGTCACCAGCACAGGCTAGTCCTGCGCGATCTCAAGCTCGGTCGCTTTGTCTTCACCGACTGTGAGAGGTGAGTGTGGCCGCAGGCGCCCCACCCACACACTTACTCAAGAGGTGGGCCGTGATGGGGAAACTGAGGCCCAGGAAGGCAAAATGACTTACTCAAAATGTGGAGAAGGCTGGACTAGCCCCCATTGCCTAGTTCCCCGCAAAAAGTTGACTCAGTCCTATTGGAAGCCCCTTGGGGTGGACCTTTGCAGTTCTGAAAATCATAGTGGCTGACGGTGATGAAGGCATCGCTGAATTATCCAACTTGGCCTGGATCCTTACAAATATGTGAGGTAGGTACTATTATTGTCCCCATATGATAGATAGAGAAACTGAGGCCCAGAGAGGCCAAGTAACTTGCCCAAGGTCCCACAGCTTAGTAAGTCATGGAGCAAGGATTTGAACCCAGATCTGACTCCAGAGCCTGGGTCCTAATTTACTCGGAGCTTGACAGGCAGGGAGCTGTACTTACCAGCTGACTCTGGGTGACCCACTGTCTCTGAGCCTCAGTTTCCTCATTGGCAGGGGAAAGGGCTGGACTGTTAAGATGTTCCTAGGATTCCAAGGCCTCAGGCAACAGCTAAAACAGGGTCTGAGGTTCCCCACATGGAAACTTTTTCTGTGAAGCTGAGAATTAGTACTTTTTGGTTAAAAGATAATTCTCCTGGGGAGAAAGGCAGAGGGACCCGGTGTCTCAGGGGTATGCAGGATGTGTCAGGGAGTGCACTCAGCTGCCAGGTACGTAGGAATGTACACTGGGAGCCTCAACTTCATTTCAAGATTTTTTTGGGGGGATGGAAGGAGGGTGACCCCCATTGCATTTTTAAAATTTTTATTTTGAAATAATTTTAGAATTTCAGAAAAGTTGCAAAAATAGTTCAGAGTTCCTATATATACATCCTTCACCCAGTTTCCACTAATAACACCTTACGTAGCCATAATACAATGATCAAAACTAAGAAATTAACCGTGGTATAGTACTATCAACTAAACCACAGACTTTATTAATTCCCCACTAACATCCTTTTTCTGACCCTGCATTTAGTTGTCATGTCTCCTCGGTCTCCTCTAGTCTGAGACAGTTCCTCAGGCTTGCCCTATCCTTCATGACCTTGATGCTTTTGAAGAGTACTGGTCAGTTACTTTACATGTCCCTCAGTTTGGATTTGATTTTCTCACAAATAGATTGAGGTTATGTGTTTTTAGCAAGAATACCACAGAAGTGATGGCCCCTTCTTAGCACAACCTATCACAAGATGCTTAAGTTGATATGTCTTTACTGCATGTTAGCCATGATCACTTGGTTAAGGTTCTGTCTGCCAAGGTTCTCCACTGTAAAGTTCCTAACTTCCCCTTTATAATTAATAAGTTCCTTGGGG